GACATCTACAGCAGGGATACACCACTGTCAGCCATCGCTACCCAGGATGATGACCAACACCACACACCAAGACATCTACAGCAGGGATACACCACCTGTCAGCCATCGCTACCCAGGATGATGACCAACATCACACACTAAAACCTGTCAGCCACTGTTACTACTTCATCATCCATCCCAGCATGGTGATAACCAGCACCCACACCAAGACATCTTCCGCAGGGATTCACCACCTGTCAACCAGTGCTACCACTTCACCAGCACGGACCCTCCTGTCTATATTTAAACATGGTATTCAAAAGTTTTCTCTAGACTGGAGATGTGGTACTGTGGTAAAATGTTTGGCTTGGCATGCCTGAGGCTCCAAGTTCAGTTTCCAGAACAAAAAAAGAAAATTGTCTTTAAACCTACCTTTTAATTTTGAATCCCTTATAGAATATGCAGACTTCTGTAACCTATTAAATATAAAATTAATAAGCTATACCCTGTAACATCAGGAAATTCTGAAATAGTTTATTTTAAAAATAAAGAAATCTTCACAATACCATTATCTGAAAGCTATCTTTAAAAAACAAACAAACAGAAAACCGCAAGCTCTGAGAGGTTTTATTAAAGGAAAACTTTCCCCATATCCTTTCTATGAGTCTGTCCTGGCATGCTTCCAACAGTAAGGGACTGCCCTGGGCAGGGGCAGCTACTCTGTAGCAGTGGAAGTCCTGCAGCTGTCTTTAAAGGCAGGGACTGGCTCAGGGAGAAGTGGGGGAGGGGAGGGAGGGGTGTGGGGAGAGACAGAAACAGAGCACACCATATGAAATGCCCTTACAAATACGTGCCAACAGGGATAGCACAGGATATCTAGCTCTCCTATTCAGAATGTATTAGCTGTTAACATTTAAGCTCACTTCTCAAGCACAAATTTAGAAAAACAGAAACATCTCATTTTCCACACATGGTTACTGTGTGCACGGAGTCAGAACTAGAAAGCTAGCCCATAATTTGTCTAGTAGTGCTTGTAAGAAATAAGGAGTTTCAAGCCCGTCCTGGTTACAGTGCGGAAGATGGAGGTGGAGGCCTGCATGTACAAGCAGTGCCCGTCCACGCTGCAAAATAAAAGCAAAGGCAGGGCCGGAGGTGGTCGGGAGTAACGCCCTGCCTTCCACATACGGCCCACCTGACTTCAATTCCCAGTGTCAACTTTTAATACTACACATCACTAGTAAGTGAAACAAAAACAGACCTAACTTTGTATTGCATTGTACGTTTCTCCCTGCCACTGGCATCTATTCATAAAGACATTTTTACTTTGTAAAGAAAATAAGTTAAAGGGGAGAAGGAAGTTCTGAAAGAGCTTTGATAACTTTGGAAAGGATCTGGGTACTCTCAGGAATGTAGACAGCTGGTAAGCTTGGTTCTTAAGTATGTGTAAGAAAACCATGTTGTTTTCTATTTTCTTATTGCAGATATGAAACTATGAGGTATAATTTTCTCATAGTCATAATACTCTTTAAGGATTCACAACAAAATGAACAGTAGGCAAAAAGACATGCCATGTGACTAGTAACATAAACTGTCTACACACAGGAACTTTAGAAATGTTGCCTTCTGTCATTATCAAATTATGATAAGGTAGTTTATTCTCATACTGAGTCCTAGTGAAGATACTGAAGCTAACTGATGCCAAGAATGGTGGTATATGCCTGTAATTCGAGCACTCGGGACACAGAGGCAAGATTGCAAATTTGAGGCCAGCCAGGGCTACCTAGTCAGACTCTGTTTCAAAAATAAAATAAATCATTGAAGCTGGAGGCTGAGTATATAACTCCTGACAGCCTGCTTGCATGTATGAACAAGGCCCTAGGTTTCATCTACAGTGCTGAAAAAAATTAATGCAAAAAAAGAAAGAAAAGAGAAAGTGACATGAATTGAAGTTGAGAGAAACAATGTGCCCGATGGCACACAGGTGGACAGTGGAGTGCTGTAACTTAAATCTGTCTCTAGTGTCACACTACTCCAGTTCTGGCATTTCATTGCTGACAAAACGTCAAAACTATAAAAAGAAATAAAGATTAAAAAGTGGTGGGATCTGGGTGGGTGGTGGCACATGCCTTTAGTCTCAGCACTCGGGAGGCAGAGACAGGAGGATCTCAGCAAGTTCAAGGCCAGTCTGGTCTACAGAGTGAGTTTCAGGACAGCCAGAGCTGTTACACAGAGAAACTCTGTCTCAGAAAACCATAAAAAAAAAAAAAAAAAAAGGAAGGAAGGAAAGAAGGAAGAAAGAAAGGGATGGGAAGTGAAGAAAAGATCGAAAGGAACTTTCCTTAGGGGATGAGGTAAGAAGTGAGAATGGGAAGAGGAATTAAAATACTGCATACACTTCTGTTCAAGGAAAAGATTATCTGAAACAAAGGACTCCACTGTGTGCAGCAGACAGACAGGAGGCACGTGACATGTGACCTGGCACTAAGGGAGCCTACAGCCTGTGTATTTCACCTCACAGCAGTTAGTGTTTGCCTGAGAGGACAAGAGTCTATGCAAATGAATCTCCCATAGCACAAGAATTCCACACATCTTCCAAAACTGCTTTCAGAATTAGTCTTCGAGCAAGGGGACAATGTTCTTAGTGGTCAGGTCATACTTCTGACTACAGGTGACATTGCACAACTTGGTCACTGTTCACGCCCAACAAGCAAAGGGCTCCGAACTACTGACAACTACTTACGGCCTCCTCTCCTGTACCTATACCTATAATTCCACTCTTACATTTCCTCAGCCGACCCGTAAAGCCACTGCTGTTTTTATTGTACAGGTAACAAGCTAGGCTTGAAGCTGTCGAGTAACCTGCCCAAGGCTAGGGGAGGAGGCACTTTCTCATTTCACCCGACTAGTCCTCAAAAGTACCCCCACTCTCGAGAAGAAGTTAGAGCACATACCTCAGTTTCTGCTCCACTGTGATAATAAATTTAGCATCTTTTACAAGAACAGAAGCAGCCTGCTGCACACCTTTCCTTGTTGCACAAAACTGAAAAGGAATTAGTGACCTCTGTATCAATCAGGTTAAAAACTCAACACCACACACAAAACCAGCAACTAATAACCCTTACCACAAGTGTGGGCTTCTGATCCGAGTATGTTCGTATAACACTGTACACTTTATAGTTGAGGGCTAAGTCAAACTTGAATTCAGTTTGGTTACTACTACAGGGGAAACCCAGGACCACTTTCTGAAGTTTCACAGGTCTATGGCTCTCATCCATTTTCAGACATACAGCAGGTCTCTCGCCATCCGAAAGCCATTCTGCGATCTGAAAAAAACAGACGCGTGTGCATTACATTCTTTTTCTAGTGAAGTTCTATAGCTAAAAACAACACAATTCTAGACCACGTTAAAGTCAAGTTCTGAAAGTGTTTAATCAAAGCATCTTTTTCAACATTACAGATTTCACTGACACTGCTCTATAGATATGTTACTAAATGCTACCAATAGTAGTGTTTCAAGACCATAAACACTTTCTCGTGGTAAATTCTGACTAGTTAGTATTTTGTTTGACATTCCCGCATTAGAGCCCAAACTAGAATTAAAATCAATTTGGTCATAAAAATCAAAGTTCCCATGGCACCGCAGTGCTGGTTATTGTTCAGAACTATTCCTGGAAATGACGGAAACATTTGCACTTCCCTAAACACTAGCAGCATAGTAGCAGAGGTTGGTCTTCTAACCAAAGAACAAATAAGCTTTTTAAAAAATAAATAACTAGTAAGTTAAAAATAAATAAATGGTAAAAATTATTTATTTATTTATTTATTTATTTATTTATTTGTGTGTGTGTGTATCTGCTATGAGTGTGTGGGTTCCTGAGGGGGCCAGAAAAGAACATCAGATCCCTTGGAGCTGGAGTCAGTGAGGTTCCCAACCTGAGTGCTATGACTCAACTGTGGTCCTCTGAAGATCAGCAAGTGCTCTTAACCTCTGACCCATTTCTCCAGACCCCAAATAAACTCTTGAGAGATGGTAGTAATTCAGACCCAGTATTAGAATTACTACTCAGTGCCTGATTCTGTGGTAAGAGGTCCTCATCCTTCCTTGCTCTAGTTAGTAACTGGGCTCCAGGCCTTGCCATGAAACTGCCTCTTGTCGGGGAAAGGTTTCTTGTTGGAAAGGCAGGAATATGGAAATAGTTGCAAGATTATTATGGGACAGGATCTGAACACACAGGAATTTGCATTTCTAGCGGGGTGGAGTGGTTGGCCAAGAATAAGGATTATTATTTTAGAGGAATATTGAGGGAAAGGACAAGAAAAACAAAAAGAAACCAGTGTTCACAGATCCAGTGATTATCACAATGAAGAAAGTTTCAATAATGTGATGGTATTTTTATAAGAATTGCTGTAAACCAGTAAAATGAAAAAAGAAAAGGGCATCACTGACTTGGTTAAAAAAATTTATGTAGTTGACAAATATATTAAAATACTCTAGTCAGTAAAAAAAAATCAGTGAAGTAAAAATCTTTAAAATAAGTATGTACATTTGAGAAAAATTTATTACTATAAAAATAATTTCAAAGCCAGGCGGTGGTGGCGCACACCTTTAATCCCAGCACTCGGGAGGCAGAGCCAGGCGGATCTCTGTGAGTTCGAGGCCAGCCTGGGCTACCAAGTGAGTTCCAGGAAAGGCGCAAAGCTACACAGAGAAACCCTGTCTCGAAAAACAAATAATAATAATAATAATAATAATTTCATTATTTTGTTATCTAATGTTAGGATACAAAAAATGGCTGCTAACAGGGAATAGAGAAATGACTTCTTAAATAAACGAATATAACTTTTATTGAAGGCAGTGTCCCCTGAAGGTTTAAACTAGCATTTCACTTACTTCATAGTATGCTAAGAAAATGAGTATGAATATTTTCAAAGATATATTAACTTCAGCACTGTTTATAACAGAGAAATGGAAATAACACTATATTATGAGATTAGATAAAAAAACAAACTACAAAAAGTAAAGAATATTTGATAACATGGAACTTCTTACAGGTAAAACAACAAAAAATATATATGATTCCATGCTGCTATGGTTAAGATGTACTTTGTAAATGTCTCCCAAGGGTTTATATGCTAGAACCTGGTCCCAGTGTAGCAACAATGCAGAGGGAATCTTTCAAGAACAGAGTCTAGTGCAAGGTGAGCATGTCATGGAGGACGCTGCCCCTGGAGGAGAGTAACACTGGCCTTACAGAGTAGGTTTCTTGAGAGTGGGTTGTTAGAAAAGGGTGAGTCTGGGTAGGTCTGGTGCTGCAGGCCTGTAATCCCAGCTCTGATAAAACCTGGACTTTTTAATTTGGCCTGATCTGATTTACTGCGTTGGCAGAGAGGTTTAATGTCGAGGTACAGAAACTTTTCATCTGGTGTAGTGGCCCCTGGCCACGTGGGAAAACCACTCCACTACTCACACATCTCTCTGCCAGACCAGATCGGCTCTCAGCCTGGAGAGTTGCCCCTTCTAAGTCGCTGCCTTTAGGGGTCCAGGACGCTCCTCCTCCCAATTTTGGGGTACCCTTGCCAAGATGTGGCTGCGCCTGGGGCATCCCACCTGTTCCCACTCAATGCGATCCTCCCTGGATGTCTGGGATGCTAGGACATCCTGGCCTTGGATCTTCCTTCTACACAACCCAGAAGCCTATCCCAACCGACACATTGCACTTTTGACTTCAGGTCTGGAAAAGGCTTGTGAACCGTTGCTTATGGGTTAAGTCTGATCCCCAATCGCTACAAAACTTATCCAAAGCAGCTCCCTCATCCAGGTTTGGGAGCACTGCACTCCTGTCCCCTCCCCGTCTCACTGCCCCTTCTCTCTGGAGCTGCTTTCTCCAGACCTCACCCAAAGAAAGCCCACCCAGCAGCAGCTCCTCCCCCAGAGGGTGTTTAAGGTCTGCCCTACAGCCTTCTCCTAGTGGTTCCCCTCCTGGCTTCTCCTCTTTCCCAGGACTGCCCAGGAATGTTTTGCTCAGATTAAACCTGGACTTATTAATTTGGCCAGATTTGACTGACTGCATCGGTGGAGAGGCTTAATAACGAGGTACAGAAACTTTTCAATAAGAATGAGTTTTATGGCCTAGAAGTAATGCTCAAGATTTAGGGGGAAAGGGTCTGGGATAAACAAAACAAATCCTGGGGAATATGGGCGGAACCTGGCTCAACAGATAACAAAGAATCACCAGGTTATAAACTCCATTCTTCTAAAGCATTCCTGGAGAAACAGCTAAGCAGCTCACTCCTTTGAAGAGAGAATCTGTGTGCTTAACTTTTCCTGGCTTCTCCAGTGCTTGTCTCTGTGCACAGGAATTTTTGCCATCTATACCTTGTCTATATGTTTAAAAGAATAAAAATTCTATATTGTTCTTGAACATGAACAAAACCAGTTGTAATTTTAGAAGAAATTTAGAGATAAAAACAAAATTTGTTATTGAAACAGACAATATAGCAACTATTTACAAAAATAATTTCTTTTTTTTTTCCTTTTTTTTGGGGGGGGGTTCGAGACAGGGTTTCTTTGTGTAGCTTTGCGCCTTTCCTGGAACTCACTTTGGAGACCAGGCTGGCCTCGAACTCACAGAGATCGGCCTGGCTCTGCCTCCCGAGTGCTGGGACTAAAGGCGTGCGCCACCACCGCCCGGCTTACAAAAATAATTTCTAAGTAGTACCAAAAAACAAATAAACAGGCTGACAAGTAAACAGGAGTGAGGAAGAATAAGTCTATATACTTGTTTTTAAGAAGTTTGCTTAGGGGCTCGAGAGATGGCTCACAGGTTCAGAGCACTGGCTGGTCCTCTGGAGGAACTGGGTTCAATTCCCAGCAACTCAACTCACAAGCATCTTAACTCCAGGTCTCATTTTTTTTTTTCTTTCCTGAGACAGGGTTTCTCATTGTAACAGCCCTAGCTGTCCTAGAACTCACTCTGTGGACCAGGCTGGCTTGGAGCTCACAGAGATTCACCTGCCTCTGCCTCCTGAGTGCTGGGATTAAAGGCGTGTGCCACCATCGCCTAGTGTAACTCCAATTCTAAATGACCCAACACCTTCTGACCTCCAAGAGCACCAAGCACATATAAACATATATGCAGGCACAACACCCATATATGGATAATAAAATAAAAGAAAAAGAAGTTTGCTTAGGGATTAAAGAAAGAGTCATATATTATTACAGAAAGTATAATACTCCAAACAACTGTCGGCCTACACATTCATGTCCCAATAACCATGAAATCATCCTTATGGCTATACTAAGGACAAGTCCACATACCTGCATTTTAGAAATAGTCGCTAGTGCTTACCACAATACAGACACACAGAACTGAGGGAAAGTGGGTGGTCACCCCAGCCACTGTTTGGTTTTCTCCACCACACTGTTATACAATTAAGAGTCAGCTCATCCAGCAAGCGGCGGTACACCTTTGGACACAGCACTGGGGAGGCAGAGGCAAGGCAGAGCTCCATGAGTTCAAGGCCAGCCTGGTCTACAGGAGTTACAGGACAGCCAGAGCAGTTACACAGAGAAACTCGGTCTCAAAAAACCAATAAATAAGAGTCAGCTGTGGTATTGTATTCCCCGAAATATTGTGCGTGCTAATAAACTTATCTGGGGTCAGAGACAGAGCAGCCACAATATTAAACATAGAGGATAGGCAGTGGTAGCACACACCTTTAATCCTAGCATTCCAGAGGCAAGAAATCCATGTGTTCAAGGATACAGACAGGCATGGTGACTCATCATGCCTTTAATCCCAGGGAGTGGTGGTACAAAGCAGAAAGGTATATAAGGTGTGAGGACCAGAAACTAGAAGTATTTGGCCTGGTTAAGCATTTGGCTGATTAAGCTTTTAGGCTTTGGAACAGCATAGTTCAGCTGAGATTCATTGGGATGAGGACACAGAGGCTTCCAGTCTGAGGAAACAAGACCAGCTGAGAAGTTGGCCAGGTGAGGTTAGCTGTGACTTGTTCTGTCTCTCTGATCTTCCAGTTCACCCCAATACCTAGCTCAGGTTTGATTTTATTAATAAGAACTTTTAAGATTCATGCTACAGTCAGCTCATCCAATGATCATGACACATTACTAGCTAAGTAACAAAGTGTCTGAAATAAGTGAAAACTATGAATTTTAATTAAAAGCAAATAGCAGAAATCTAGCACTAACTTTCTACATATACTAAATTTATTAAGTGACTGATAGAAAATGCCTTCTTCTCTGAGATCAAATTGATTAAACAGTCCATAAATAATAAAAAATCAAGCAAGTGAAGATTGTGACTTACATCCTCAGTATTGGGAATTGTTGCAGATACAGCTACAAATCTCATAGGAACAGGGCTGGCATTTTTTAAGGCCCTGGATAAAGACTGTACAGTTTTCATTCTGCTAACTACAACCTCAAGAGTTGGACCACGGTTTTCATCTTTTATAATATGCACCTGGGTAAGAAATCAAGAGAGAATCATTAGGTATAAAACAAAAAAATCTATTTAATCAATTAAAATATACAACATTAATATTTTTACTTAGAAAAATAAGCATTTTCCAATTTGAAAGACTAAAAACATTATTTTACTTAAAATGTCATTTCTTTCCATTCATTTTAAACATCATTTTGTGTCTGTCTCTGAAGGTGAATGCCTTCATTACCTCATCAATGAGAAACAGTCGAACCAGCTGGACTAAAGAGTTGTCTCTCCACTTCCTAGTCATGGTGTCCCACTTTTCCTATAGGAAAAAATGCAAGTGGTTTATTCTACTAAGGAATCACAAGCATTGTTTAAGATACTGATAAACCTTATCAGACCTATTACAAACAAGGGCAACATTTCAGTTGATTCTTTAAAATCTCCCCAAAGAGTTGAGGATTAAAAGTTACTTAAATGATCTTAAGAGTCCTAAAACACAAGGTCTTCAGTCTTTGAAATAATCACAAGTCAAAATCGAATCACACTCTTCATGTTTGATGTGTGCGGACGTTCTGCTTGCATTTGTGTCTGTGCAACATCTGCACGTAGGTCCTGTGAAGACCAGAAAAGGACATCACATCTCCTGAGACTGGGGGGTGCTGGGAATCAAACTCAGGTCCTCCAGAAGAGTAACCCAGCCTCTTAACCACTGGGCCATCTCTCCAGCCCACTAATTATATACTTTAAGCCCTATCAAGGCATCACTTCTATAACATATGCTTGGACAAATGAGTATAAGGAAAAAACATGGTTATAGATTGTCCACAATTACAAATTGGTTTGTTTTACTCGTTGTTCATATATGTGATAATTTCTCTTCCACTTTTTTATCTATGGATATTCTCTCCATATCCTGAATAACAGTACTTTTATGGTAATTAGTTTACATTGCAAATACATGCTTGTACTTTGTATTTTTCTAACGATCTTTCTTAATGAAGATAAACAAATATTTTCAAGTAAATAATGAAACATAAATAATACTTACTGGAGTTGTCATAATTATATTGGCATGCTGGATCTCAAATAGGTCATCCATTACTGTATCTCCAGTAAGTTCTTTACAACTCAAGCCTATTGGTCCAAATTTTTCTTTCCAATCATCAAACCGCTGACTACAAAGGGCTTTTATTGGTGCCACTAAAATAATATATTTATTTTAAACACCAGTGTAATTTTAAAATTGTTTTCTCAAGGTCTAGTTAATAAAATTAGTCTAAAAGCACACGCTTATTGCTGTATAATACTGATAAAGTGAAAGCTAAAAATACAAACATAGGGAGCTATTAAAGCAGTCACCAGGAAGAACTAAAAACTGAAATGGAGGTGATTGCTGAGGGAATCTAAAAAACGGGGAGAGATGGAACAAGTGATTATTGATTTTTTCATAAGAAGTCTTTTGTGATTAGTCATTTCTTTTAAACTGTGTACATACAGCACTTAATGGAGTTTTATGAAATATACATCCCAAAAAAATGAGAACAGATGTTTCTATGTAAAATTCTAGAATTGTAAAATATATGATTATTTGTTCATTTTGACTGTCCTCTTTTTTTTTAATGTAAAGTTCAAATCCTTAATTCAAATACATTATTTTCTATTTACAACTCTGGGGAAATGTGTTTCAAATTTAATGTAACAGATGAAACCAATTGTGGCGTGTCTTTATTACACTGCACAGAGGGCTAGGGTTACAGCTAAGTGGTAGAGCTCTCACCTAGTGTATGCAAGGCCCTCCCCGAGCTCAATGTCTAGCACCACATACACACATGAGCAAATACGGGAGACTCTGTAGGTTAGTGGTGCTCGGCAGCATAGTACCTGTCTATAGGTTCAGTCACAGCACCACAACTAAATAAATTAATAGTATTTTTAATGTATGAGCTACCAAGCTACCAAATAATAATCTCTGCTCTGAATTTAATTGACTTCATGTCTGCTTCACTCTTTGACTACACTTAATCAACATTTTTACAATATATACTTACTGTAAACAATTTTCATGTTGAGCCATGGCAATGGTACTTCCATTAACAATCTTGTTATCGCAAGTTCAAACACTACAGTTTTCCCAGAACCAGTGGGGGCACAAATCACAAAATTCCTATCTGTGTAAAGAAGCTAAGAGATAAAAAGTCAACTGATTATCAATATATAGAATTTTTATATACATTCTCAATTTTCTAGAAAATGTACTTTAAGAAGATGGTGGGGTGGGGGGCTGGAGAGATGGCTCAGAGGTTAAGAGCACTGCTTGCTCTTCCTAAAGGTACTGAGTTCAATTCCCAGCACCCACATGGTGACTCACAACCACCAGTAATGAGATCTGGTGCCCTCTTCTGGCCTGCAGGGATACGTGCAGACAGAACACTGTATACATAATAAATAAATCTTTAAAAAAAAAAAAGATTAGGAATATAGCTTCAAATGTGTTTACCTCTACAATTCCTAAGTGCAGTCCTGCTCTAGACATTTCAACCTGAATAACAACACGTTTTGTCATATTATACTATTTTGTCAAAATGAATGCTAGACCTAAGAGAAAATTATCCTTTACCCTTAAGAGAACTTCTTATAAATTTATAAGATACTTACATCATCAAAGGCTTTGGATTGTATGTAGTTGAAGTAAGGGAATTCTTTGAATATACTTCTAAATTTTGCCGCTTAGAATAACATTAAGGAGTTAAATATTTCAGAATTTTAAAAAATGTTTACTTTTAATTTAAAAATTCAGTTTTAATTCTATTGACTCTCACAGTATCCAATGATAAGGTTGTAACATTTGCTATTTTAGCATCTAAGAATTAATGGAAGGGAGCTGTTCTTGCAGAGACCCTGGGTTTGAGTCCTAGCACCTCCACGGTGGCTCATAGAAGGTACACAGAATCTGATGCCTTCTCCTGCCATTGTCAGGCACCAGGTATACATGTGGTACAACATACACACATGCAGGCAAAACACATACAAATAAAATACAATTTTTTTAAATAAAAAAGATAATGGAAATGATTCTACTCTGCTTCCACATTCCTTATTCTAAAAATAACTGATAAAATCTCTGTGGGAAAACAAAGTTACATAAGGAATATAACTTGCAAGTTAAATATGATGAAGGAGATCTGAATATATAGAGACATGCCTAAGAGCTATTTTTAGTCTGTTTTTCTTACTTGTCTTGACTAAGACATTTTTATATTGTCTTTAACTTTCAAATTTTCACTTATTAACTGATTTTGACAGTTTCATTTCATTAATAGAAGTGTTCTGGTCAGTTAATCTTGAATCTCTGCATTTTTAAATATTATTTGTGTTGTTTAATTATCAGCATATTTGCTCAGTAAAATGAACTTGGACTATACTTCTTCCCCTGTTAGAAAGTTTAAAAATATTAATAGGATAGTAAATCACCCCATTCTCTAAAGTGAGACTCTATTGCCAGATTCAGGAATATTAACGGCACTCTTCTTAGGAAGTTGCAACTGGTCAACTACATTTATTAGCACCATATGCAAATGCATTACTAGATCTAAGTCACTCCAAAAAAAATGAGTTCCTACAAGTGAGGCCTTTAGGATTTATTAGGGGGCAGGAACAATGGCTCAGTAGTTAAGAGTACTTGCGGCTCTTGCAGAGAACTGGAATTCTGTCCTAATACCAACATCATGTAGCTCACAAACACCTGTGATCCTGTTCCAGGGGATCCATTGCCCTCTTTTTGGATTTCACAGTCACCTTCATGCAGGTAGTGCATATATAGACAAGCAGGTACAGACCCATACACACAAATGAAAATTAATAAAAACTTTAAAATATATATTTCAAAGAACATAGTTGTCTAAAAACTCTATTTTTATGATGTACTTAAATACTCATGGGTTGGTGTAGTAATGCTTTTTAAACTTTAAAAATGGATTATATGACTTTTCTGTCTAAATTTCCCCCTTTCCCTTCAAGAAAATGGCTACAAGGCCCCTCATCCTACCTCCCAACTCTCCCTCCAATCTTCCACCAGCCTTTATTGCTCTGACTTCAGATCCTCTGTTCTTTTAACCTCAGACTCTTCTCTAGTTACAATGGGCTCTACTATTCAGAACGTCAGCCACGTACCTGCCGTGACATCTACGTCAGCCACGACGTACCTGCCGTGACATCTCCCTATCTCTCCTCTGTCTTCATGCCTCATTCTACTCTCACATCTCCTTTGTTCTGCCATCTTATTGCTTGTGTCTCACACCTTAAGAAGGTTTGCCCTGTTTACTTTATTGAATGCTGTATCTGGAGCCTTCAATTCCAGCAGTCTCAATTTAATTCTCTTTTACCTATTCTACGTTTTCTTTCCCCGTGGTACTCATCTCCTTCTAAAATACCATCTGACCCAATTTTTACAGTTACTGTTCAGATCTACCTCAGCCCATCTTCCATTGCAAGATTAGCAGTAACTCAAGGACAAGGACTCATTACCTCTTTTCTTAATTGGCATATCCACAAGTTCAGAACAGTGCCTAACTTAATGTAGGTTTGCACTTACTAAACCATATGGTTAATTTCTAAATCTCCACTTGACTTTCAGCATGTCATAATATTGTCATAATATATACAGACAAGCATACACACAAGTGAAAATAAAAACTTTAAAAAATATATTTTAATTATGTGACAAAATAAAAACAAAATTTAGAGTTAGTCAGAGTCCACCAGCTTTTTAAAGAACCGCATTTTCCCTCAAGGAATGTTTTTCCATATAAAATATTTATTTATAACAAGCCTAGAAGTGGCCTATCATGCTGGTTTTTCTCTCATTAGCTAGGTCTGCATCAATTTATATTCACAAAAATGAGTGTTTGATTCAGAGTACAGGCAGATCCAGTCTCCCAGTGCACGACAAACTCCACCGTTAAATGCATCATCTATCATCACTGTGAACACTCGGAATCAAGTTTTCCTTTTGTCCCTGAACTCCCAGCAGCACCGCTGCAATTGTCTGCACAACTGAGGAGGCAGTGCCACAGCAATCTGACCAAACTTGGGATGTCCTGAAGATTCAGCTAGAGAAACACACCGAGAAAGACCCCGCAAGGACCCACGTCTAAGCAGTCCACAAACGCTGTCTTTTACTTTGAACACATTCAAATAACGAAGTACACAGATCAGCGAATTTGACAATATATGAAACTGTTAAAAAATAGACCAATGGATACAAGTATAGACATCTATCTTTGTAGCTCTACTGAAGTGTGCAGCACACTGAAGGGTGCTGCAACATGAAAAGTCTTTAAAACTTTTCAAAGGCTAGTATTAAATTATGAAGATTTTTCTAACAAAAGAAGAACATCCCATTATACAGATAACCTGTTGTGTGATATTTTGATTGTGTTCTGACAAATAAAGCTTGCCTGGAGTCAGAGGGTGGAGCTAGCCACTAGCTGACCATAGAGGTTTGGAGGACTGTAGCGAGAGGAGATAGAAAGTGGTAAGGCAGGGCTGGGAGAGGATCTCAGACCTTTTGGTGGGAGGAATCGGAAAGGTAGGAAGTGACTATGGCTGCTCCCCTGCTTCTCTGATCTCTCAGGTTTTTATCCCAATATCTGAATCCTGATTTTTTATTAATAAGATTAATTAGATTTATGCTTCAATAACCAGACAATATTTTAATTATATTTTTGAGATATAATTACATTTCTCCCTCCAAACCCTCTCCCTGTCCCCCTTCAAATTCATGGCCTCTTTTTCAATGTTACTGTATGCATATATGGTTGTATATATACTAGAATAGAATAGAACGTAACAGAAAATAATAGAACATAATATATTTTTCTAAATATAACCTTCTCAGTCTGTATAATGTTATTTATATGTATGTTTTCAGGGCTGTTTAGCACTGAACAACCAAGGGGAGAGACCACCTCTCCTGCTCCCAGCTTTCCTCAGTTGCCTATAGTTCTTTGGGTAGGGCTGAGGTTTCCTGGACTTTTTTCCCCGTCCACTTGTCCATTGGTGCCGTCCTTGTTCAGCTCACGTTTGGGTGGCCATGTTCCCCAAACTTTATGAGTATAGTTTCCAATGTTACTAGGAGTCACACTCACACAGGAAGCTCCCTGGTCCTTTTGGCTCTTACAGTTTTTGTCCCTCCTGTCCTGCAATATTCTTTGAGTCTCAGGGATTATGCTGGTTTGGTAAAGTGATGGTTGCAGGTTCTTCTCTGAGATCCATGAATTCACTAACACTGAGATGGGAGCTAAATTTCCAGTACCAGCATGGCCTCCCTCTTACTGAGTAGGTCTTCAGTCCAATTAGAGAGCTGTTGGGTACCACCAAGGTACATGTGCCATTACTGCACCCTTATGATTATTGTACCATGCTGGTTATTGATATGGTTCATAGACATCATAGCTGATCAGTTGGTTGCTCCCTCTTTTGGAAGCTTGCATGTACTTTCTAGTACTATGAAAGCTAGTCCTCAGAGATGGGATATTTAGGTCTAACTAGACAATAGTTAATTGCCTACTACTAAACTGTTTCTTATTTTCCCCTTCTACTGGTGCAAATACATATGTGTGTCTTAGTTAGGGTTTCTATTGCTGTGAAGAGACACCATGGCCGTGGCAACTCTTATAAAGGAAAAACATTTAACTGGGGTGGCTTATATTTTCAGAGGTTTAGTCTATTATCATCATGGTGCGACATGGTGGCATGGAGGCAGACATGCCACTGGAGCTGAGAGTCCTACATCTTGTTTCACAGGCTACAGGAAGTGGTCTGTGACACTGGGAGTAGCTTGAGCATGGAGACCGCAACCCCCCCCCCAACAGTTCCTCCAACAAAGCCACACCTCCTACTAGTGCCACTCCCTTGGGGGCCGTTTCCTTTCACACCACCACAACGTGGCACCCCAGAAGTTGACCTCGGGTGTTTTTTCTTAGCTCTCTACTTCATACATTGAGGCAGGCTCTCTTGCTAAAACTAGAGCTTGCTGTTCCAGGCTATTCAAGCCAGTCAGCTTGCTCTGGTGATTCTGTCTCCACCTCTCTAGTTCCATGACAGGCTGCTGTGCCAATCCAGCTTTTACTGGATTCTGAGATCTGTTCCCTGTTTGTGGAACTGTAGAGGAGGGATTAGGTGTTGTGGCCTTGTTAGAGCAGATGTGTCACTGGGAGTGGGCTTTGGCCATTCTCAGGCTCTCTCTCTGCCTTCCACATGCTGATCCAGATGTGAGCTCTCAGATGCTTCAACCAACATGCCTGCCGCTTTTGCCACTCAGCCCTGCCATGATGGACTCTTAGCTCTCTGAAGCTGGAAGCCCAATTAAACGCTTTCTTTTATAAACTGCTTTGGTCATGGTGTTTTATCACAGCAATAGAAAAGCAACCAAGACACTGCTCAGTATCTGAAATTCACTTTCTGCTTTTCAGATGTAAAAGGGATATCACCACCAGAATATTCTGAATACACTCAAGTATTTACATCAGAAATACTCAAACATGCAAACTTGACTATTCGTTTCTTTTTTGTTTTGTTTTGTTTTGTGTTTCAAGACAGGGTTAATCCATGTAGTTTTGGTGCCTGTCCTGGATCTCCTTCTGTAGACCAGGCTGACCTCGAACTCACAGAGATCCACCTGGCTCTGCCTCCCTAGTGCTGGTATTAAAGGTGTGTACCACCATCGACCAGCCCATTCAAAACCTTCAAATGAAGCTCCTTCTAAATTAGTAAAAATGTCCTCAAATCCACAAAATGTCCAATTTGCTTTGAGTTCTCCTATTTGATTTAATACAATATCTCTATTCTTGTTCCACCAAAAGAAATTTTTTATACATAAGTAAATTTCTATGTTTAAATTGTCAGAATGAAACAGTTCTCAAACTGGACCAGCCTGCAGACCACACTTGAAGTAGCACTGACTATCATACAATGTATCTCTTAACATGACCCAAAAGATTTACTTTTCCATCTTTTTCTATGCTAACTAAAATGAACACACAGGAGTTGAATGAAACAAAACATTTTAAATATATAATTTCATAAAAATGAAGGATACGGATTTCTGTGACAGCCTTCAAGGAACCTAAGCCATTTGGGGTTATACCTAAAAACAAAAGATACTACATATTTATATGGATATTTTTAACCATTTCCATAAAACAGCTCCAATAAATTTTGTATAACATTTTACTGAGAAGTTAAAATATAAAGATACAGCTATAAAATAATGCAATATAATAAATGCATCAATTCCACATGGAGAGAGAACTTACTCTATTTTGTATTCTCCATTATGCTAATAAATGCAAATTAGTTTGTATTTTCACAAAAAGCAACTGAATAAAAAATTACCTTGAATGTCATGAGGCTGAGACGCAATGGAAAAGGATGGCACTTTGAATATGTTTTCTCCAGTTTCAGAAGCAGAAAAAGCATCATTTGCTTTCAATTTATTTGTAGAATATTGAAGTTTCTGCTTACTATTGCTACTGTTCCATGATTTCTCTTTGTTTATTTTTGTTTGGGCTAGCTTCACTGGGCTAATATGAGAATCCAAGTTTATATTTTCATTAGCAAAATCACATTCATGTATATTGTCACATGTTCTAAATAATCTGGAAAAAAAAACACCATGGTTTCTGCTTCTAACATTTGCTTAAAAACTAGCACAAGATATCCACTTAAAAACATCCATAACTACAGCTTATCACAGATTTATGTCTCTTCATTTTCCTAAAACTCATCTAAGATTTTTGTGGCAGCTTGTCTCCAAGATGGCTCCCATGATCCTTGTCTCCAAGTAGTCACAGCTTTGATGGTCTACAAACTGCGTCACTACATCAGAACTGAACCATGTAACTGGTAGAGCACCCTAGTATGTAGTGCTGAAGTGACTTCGAGGCTAAGTCACAGAGACACTCTCCCTTCCCACAGGGGTTTTGGATAGCTCATGCTGCGGAGAGTTAATTAGCATACCATGGAAACATTTAAAAACCCTGGAGAGGCCCATGTGGAGAGGCACTGAAGACTCCCGGCCAACAGTCAACACCAACTGACAGACAAAATGAGTAGTTGACAAAAACAGACCAAGAGTCCTTGGGAAGTGTCAGGTAACCACATACAACATGGCATTTTGTTTGTGGCCCCTTGCAAAACCCCAACTATGCTTTTTCATGGGAGACCCCAGACTCAAACTACTAATTAACTTGATCCTAACTCATAAAAAAAACCCAAAAAACTATCAAAACTAACAAAGCTTACTGTTGTTTTAAACCATTAAGTTTTGGAGTAATTTGTTCACAGCAATAGATATCTAATTAAACTGATGGAAATCAGCTAAGTGCTGAGGTGGGACGCCCACTAAATAAACTATAATAACAGCAGTTTCTCTAATCAGGTTACTGTAGGATGCAAAGGTCCTCTTGTAGGGTCCTGGCCTAGTAGATAAAAGGATTCAGAAGGAGCGCAGAAGGGAATCTGATGATGATTTATTGGAGAGAATAATAAGGCAGCCAAGAATGTTGTCTGCACAACTGTGAGGAAGGATCTAGAAAGAGGAGCAACACTTTCTGAGCTTGAAGTTAGAAAGCAGACAAGTTCACTGGCAGGTCTGTGAACAGCTGCATGGACGGAAGGGCTTCTGGTCTATGTCAGTAGTGACCCCCAACCATACAATTATTTTCATTGCTACTTCATAACTGCAAATGTGTTGTTATGAACTGTAATGTAATACCTGTATTTTCTGATGGCCTTAGGCCACCCCGGTGAAAGGGTCATTCAACCCCTAGAAGGGTCATGACCCACAGGTTGAGAACCAATGCTCTAAGGGGACAGTTTTTCCTCCCATTTTTATAAATTGCTTTCAGTCATATTTCTTTTCATTTTTCAGCCTTAGGTTGAAACAGGATTTTAGATTAATAAAACAGGACTTTATCTTTAACACAGTCGTGTGTGTGTGTGTGTGTGTGTGTGTGTGTGTGTGTGTGTGTGTGTTCTCTGGAGAGATTCCCCAGCCATGACCAGACACAGAAGGTGTCTGTTATCTACATTTGTAAAGGGTATTACTGACAAGCAAAACTTGTCATTTGTAAAGCATATAACTATCAATCATGCCATTTGTGCCAGAAGATGCTGATACATACATTAATACGTGTAGTTCCTGGTCAACCAAATTTGTGTTGTATACCCAATTTACCTTCCCTACAAATGGAAAAGAAGTAAACTAAGTTTATTTATTCTTATTTTTTTATTTAAAGAATTTTTGATATTTTTAAAATTTTTATATGTGCAGGTATCTTGCCAACATGTATATCTGTGTGGTGTGTGTGTGTGTGTGTGTGTGTGTGTGTGTGTGTGTGTGTGCGCGCGCGCGCATGCCCATGGAGGCCAGAAGAAATCCCCTGAAATTAGAGTTATTGATGGTTGTTAGCTACCATATGGGTACTGGGAGTTGAACCAGGTCCCCTGGAAGAGCAGCCAGTGCTCACACCCACTAAGCCATCTCTCCAGCTCCATGAACTAAGTCTATTAACAAACCAAACTACCCAAATATTATTGTGATTTGAATGAGAAACGTCCCCATAGACTCTGATATTTGAACCCAGCTCATGGAACTGTTTGGAGAGGTTTAGATGATGCAGCCTTGTTGGAGCCTGGCACTTCAGGTTTCTCTTTCTACTTTGTGCTTGCATTTGAAGACGTTCGCTCTCAGGATGCATTCTTATTCTTCTGGAACTAGGGGCCAAAATATACTTTATGTATGTTGCCTTGGTCATGGCATTTTATTACCCAACAGAAAAATAACTGATACACACATCCATATTTCTTCATAAAATTCTTCAAAACAAGGAGACACCATCTTCACAACTATTCTTTGTCATGTAACTGACAAAATAGTTTGTTCATGATAGCCTTAACATGAAGTAAACATCAGGGTTCCTAATGCGATACTCACAACTTAGAGAGACTGTCTGGAGTAAGGATTGAGAAAAGAATGAAATAACAGTGCTTCCCAATTGTGCAAAGTAAATACGGCCAACACGACTTTGGAATATGCACTTGTAAATGTCAAAATTCTTTTTGTTGTTTTCTAAAGCTTTTCACTAAAGTTTTATCATACTTAGCCAGGTGGTGGTGGCACACAACTCTAATCCCAGCACTCAGGAGGCAGAGACAGGCAGATTTCTGAATTTTAAGTCTGTGTTCTACACAACACAGTAAAACCCTGTCTTGAAAAACAAAAAATTTCATACAAAAAAAAAAATCTATAGGGAATAAATACAAAGGAGCCCTGTGCAAAGACAGAATTTTTTAAATTTTAATTTTTGTACTTAGTCTTGATATATTTTTGTGTAAGAAAAAAAACTAAATCTTTCAAAAAAATCTACACAAAAATTGAGAATAAACTTTGTGAAATTTCATACTCAACTGCTGACAATTCTATCACTGAAGACAGAAAATTCAAATACAGATAGGTGATAAACAGAATCCATTATAAAATGATCCTGGGAATGAGAAATAACTTATGCCCTAGAGTGACTCCATACACCACACCGTGATATTGGTTAAAATCAATGACTGGAACCAGGCAAATCTGGACTTAAGTACAAACCTCATCCATTTTTTTTTTTTTAAGGTGGGTGATTTTAAAGTTATTATGAGTTTTAAATAAGTTTAATAAACTATATAGGTATTATTTAGATTCCAGTTACCAACATTCTATGGAGCTTTCTAGTCCCCTGAAAATGCCTCTCCATGAAGTCCTTTATGTCTTCAACTTCACTGATACTTTATTTTCTCCAGTCTTAAAAAAAAAAAGGCTCTGCGGCTGGGCGTTGGTGGCGCATGCCTTTAATCCCAGCACTCGGGAGGCAGAGCCAGGCGGATCTCTTTGAGTTCGAGGCCAGCCTGGGCTACCAAGTGAGCTCCAGGAAAGGCGCAAAGCTACGCAGAGAAACCCTGTCTCGAAAAACAACAACAACAACAACAAAAAAAAAAAAAAAAAAAAAAAAAAAAAAAAAAAAGTGGCTCTGCCCTGAAAGCTCTTGCCTCTTAAAAATCCTTAGTTCTTTCAGTTGAGACTTGTTTTCTTTATTCCAAATCTAGATCATTAATCTGCTTTAACCATAGTGTCTATACTATCTATAAATATCAGTATCTTTAGTGTTTTGCCACGTATCAGTTTCTGGTTACTTTAGAATCTTGTTTCTTCATGCTATAATCTGTCATCATCCCATTACTTCAAAATTCATGCAGACACATTCAAAATATATCTCTCATTTTCTTAGGCAATTCATTTCCAATCCATCCTCTTTCACATGGCTTCAGTGACATGTTGTCACTTAATTTGCTTAATATAATTATCTCCGGCAGAATCCATTTTTCTTCAAATGGCATTTCATTTTTCTTAATAGCTAAAAACAAAAACACTGTGTATATACACCACCTTTTCAACATCTAGTCCTCTGTTGGTAAACACTTAGGTTTGTTCCATTAAGAGCCATTATGAGCAGTGTAACTATCTCTTTGATATGTTAACTTGGGCATTTGTTCAATGGCTGACAGCTTCCATTCACACCAGCAGAGTATAAGGTTTCCCCTTTGTTCACATCTTCACCAGCATTTCAGCATTTGCTTTTTTTTTTTTCCTTTTGGTTTTTTGAGACAGGGTTTCTCTGTATAGCCCTGGCTGTCCTCGAACTCATAGAGATCCGCCTGCCTCTACCTCCCAAGCGCTGGAACTAAAGGCGTGTGTCACCGCTTGTTGTTTTCTTCATGACTGCCTTTCTGACTGGGGTGAGATAAAATCTCAATGTAGTTTTATTTGCAATCCTCTGATGGCTAGTATTGTACACTTTTTCTGTGTTTATTACACAGTTGTACTTTTCTGAAAACTACTCATTTCATTAGCCCATTTGTTGAATGAATGGAGTGTTGCAAAGAATTGGATTAAGTTCTTTTTTTTTTTTTTTTTTTTTTTTTTTTGGTTTTTCGAGACAGGGTTTCTGTGTAGCTTTGCGCCTTTCCTGGAACTCACTTGGTAGCCCAGGCTGGCCTCGAACTCAAAGAGATCCGCCTGGCTCTGCCCCCCGAGTGCTGGGATTAAAGGCGTGCGCCACCACTGCCCAGCTTTAAGTTCTTTATATATTCTAGCTATTAATCTGGTCAGGTATATAGCTAGCAAAAATTTCCCATTCTGTAAGCTGCATCTTTTGATTGTTTCCTCTGTATCAATTATATTAGCATAATTTCATGAGCAACTGGACTTTTCAGAAAGTGTATACTTTTGCTAATATCATAAAGTGCTTTTCCTACTTTTTCCTTTAATAGTTTCAGAGTCTAACATTAAAGTCTTTATCTATTTGGAGTTGGATTTCATATGTGGTAAGAGATACTTAGTTTCATTCTTTCATAGGTAGAAATCCTGTTTGCCCAGCATCATTTGTTTAATAAGGAGTTTTTTTCTCCAATGTGTATTTTTAGTGTCTTTGTAAAACATCAGGTGGCTACAGCTATATAGGTTTGAAATTTAAAATTTTATTATTAATTCTATGAAGGGTGATACTGGAAGTTTGATAGGGATTACACCAAATCTTGCTTTTGGGTGTATAGCGAT